GGTGATGAAATTTTAGAAAGCTAATGACATTTTGATTTATTTGCTTTTCATATTTTTAGTTATTTTGATTTCTAGCTGACGATAAAACTTAACTATGCATTGTGTTGGGATTGTGTATAAAATATGAGGATATTTTAACCAAATATATTCATGTATTTTATAAAAGTGTTCCATTTATAGAAGTTATATTCAACTTCTAGTTTAGAAGGAGGCCAATATCCATGTTAAGTTTATGAAATTTAGACAGTTCTGTAAATATACATCCCAAGATATTTCAAAAGCATTTGAAAGACAGCCTCATATAATTGTGACAGTCTTAGAATTCCCCTGAAAAACATACAAGTTTTAGTCTAATACCATTGAAAGTAGCTTTAAAAATTCAAACTATAAGACCAGAGAAATGATTTCAACATAGCAATTACACACGACGCTGACGTTCTGTCAGTGCTTCAATGTGTAACATACTTTTTAAAATGAGTATAGTCTAAAAAATTAGCTCTGAGTGTTAGCAGCGCCTGAAACAACAGCTGAAATTAAGGGTAGCTTGATGTTTTGCCTTCAAAACTTATTTTTTGCCTCCTCCAAACTCTCCTTGCCCCCTGTTTTAAGAATTTTTTGTTTTTTTTAGCTTGAAGAAGATTGTCCCTGAGCTACCATCTGTGACAATCTTCCTCGAGTTTATATATGGGACACTGCCACAGCATGGCTTGATGAGCCGTGAGTAGGTCCACACCAGGATCCAAACTCTGGGCCACTGAAGCAGAGTGCACAAACTCAGCCATTATGCCACCAGGCCAGCCCCACCCCTTTTTAAGAATTTATTACTCAAAAGCTAAAACTTCTTGCCTTTGGGCAAAAATATGATTTAACAAAAACTGCCTAGGATAAATTTTGTTAAACCATTTTGTTTCTTTCTGTATTTTGTGGTTGTTATTTTGTTACCTTTGCTTTTTAGACTTGGGATGTAATCAGAGTTATGTGTGCTCAATTCTTACAGATGAAGGGGTGAATTAAGGACAGAGTGGCAGACCTAATTTAGCAATCTCCTCCTTTTGTATACTTAAAGCAAATCCTTAACTCAACTCTAACATAGATTTTTATTTACAGATGCCCTCATTAGCCCTCTTGCGGTGGAGACAGATACTTCCTTTTGCTTCTATTTGTCCCCACCAGATTAAATTACTTGCATTACATCTCCACCAGAGCTAGTGCTGTGTGGCAAAACAACACTGGTGGGGAGTGAATGGTTATCAAGAGAAAGTTTACTTGCAGTGTTAAGAATTAATTTAGCTGAATTGGTGCGGTGAAAGTGGTAAACACAATCCCCTCACTGCTGTTTGTCGGGGTGTGTTATATCACCCTGGATTGCTTTGTCAATAATCTGCCTGGCCTGCAAGCTAAAAATCTAAGATTGCTTGGATGACTGACAGGCTGGAGATAGCTGATAATTCTAAGGAATTGGAGGTGTAAAATCTTTAAGGACCATGTCTACAGTATAAATGCCAGGGTATCTCCACATCACTCTGTACTTACAAAGGCAACAGCATTGTTAATGGCAGCCTGTCTGTCCATCAAGTTTGCAACTGGCGGATTTATCCCTCTTTCACTCCTTATCTTTCTTTGCTGTGTTTATTTCGAAACCAGCTGCAGAATAAATTGCCTCTTGTCTTCACCTCCTACACTGAGTACAATGATATGTTCTGTAAAGCTTAAAATCATGGTGTTTTTCAAGCACTCCTTTTTCAGCACACGGACTTCTAATTTTGTTTGTTTATGAATATGTATTGTGTTTTTTTCTCCTGTGGGGGCTTTTAGTAGAGCACCAAAAATGACTATTTACTTGGTGAGTGAGTGTTCAGGATCTAGAGAAAGGTGTGTGTGTGATATTTCATAGAGAAGAAATAAATAGAATTAAGATAAACATTTTGTTATTGTTTTGAATAATTCATTAGATCTGCTCTGTTTTAATCCAATAATTTAAATTAATAACAACCAAATAGTTTGAGAAAATATATTTCTATTAAACAATTTTTCACAATTTAAGAACTTTAAAGTACCCGTCCCCTCATGTACCTTTGCCCATTTGCACTTTTCTAACTTACAACTGGGAGGAAAGAAGATGATTGTGGCTGGGTAGATTCAAAGATCAGAATTAGCGTTTATATCAAATGTCCAAGTTCTACGGCAGCCCAAACCCTCCCGTGCTGGTGGTGGGAATATAATCTGAGGCAATTGCTTTGAAAACTTTTGGCTAAGGCTACTGAAGATGATTATATATATACTTTATGAACCAACAGCTCCTCTCCCAAAGATAGATGGGTATACATTCTCCAAAAGACTTGTGAAAGAACGTGCACAAACATTTACAAAAGCCGAACAATGCTCATAAAATACACATGCAAGGTATATAGATAAAACATGCACAAACACTATTTTTAATATGAGTAAAATAAAAACAAAGTGTTGACCAATACTAGAATAGATAAATAAATTGTACTATATATTCATCCAATGGAATACTCTATGACGATGAAAGTGAAGAAACTGCAGCTATACATGACACATGGATCTCACAAACATAATATTGATCCAGAGAAAACAGACACATACCCTCAATGATTCTGTTCACATAAAGCTCAAACCTAGCCATAACTAATGAGCTAGAGGTGACCCTTGGGGCATGAGTTGGGCATGAAGAGGCCTCTGAGATTCTGATAATGTTGTTTCTTCATATTAGTGCTGGTTATATGCTGAGTTTGTTTATTTGCTGGGTTAAAAATGATTAGCTTTTCTGCATCTGTGTTAATAGTTAAAAAAGTTTAACATTAAAAATGCGTCCATATTTTCGGCTAGTGTTTGCAACTACATACTAAACTGTAATTATCAGGCATCCCCTCCATTCTCTCCAAATGGTATTTTTTGGTTATTTGCAGAGGGAGACAAAGGTAAGAAAAAAGGGAAAGAGGGCTTTAGATGAAAGTGATCATCTGTGAAAGGTATACATATACCAAACTGAGCTGAGTAACAAAGTGTTCTCTGATTATTAAGCCATGGATATTTAGCCATACACACACACTCATCTGAGTACATACAAATGAACATTGTGGCCTCAGTATTGGTAAGTAATAAAGACAAACACTTAGGCATTTTGCAGCACAAAAGTTCTTGAATGTTGCTAATTATCTGAACAGTAAGAGGCGGTCATTTTTATTTGGACTGGATATTATATGCAATGTCAGAAACCTCATTCATTCATTCATTTACAAAATCTTTTTGCAGACATATACTTCTGAGCTGAGTATTGTGCTAGGACCAAGAACATGGAAGCAGCAGAATCTTTGCCTTTCTGTGGAACACAGTGACCTTTTTTTCTTCAATAAACTTGTCAGCTGTTTAATACCTATCAGTATTTTAAGTGCTATTCCAGCATGTTCTATCGATTGCAGTATCTGACTCAAGAAGTTGACCAATGGTTTACTTCCACTGCTGAAGTATGACTCTGAAGAGGTGCTTTAGCCATCTTGGGCTGCTGTAACAAAATTCCATAAACTGGGTGACTTAAACAACAGACATTTATTTCTCAGAGTTCTAGAGGCTGACAAGTCCAAGATCAAGATGCTGGCTGATTTGGGTCCTGGTGAGAGGCCTCCTCCTGGCTGCTTTGATCCTCACACAGCAGAGAGAGAGAACTAGCTGTCTGATCTCTGCTTCTGAGGGCACTAATCCTATCATGAGGACCTTACTCTAATGATCTCATCTAAACCTATCACCTCTGCTGGCCCCACCTCAAAATACTATCACTTTGAGGGTTAGGGTTTCAACTTATGAATTTTAGGGGGCCACAGAAATTTAGTCTGTAATAAGATGCAAAATTTGGCAGCCACATATTTTAAATGAAATGTCTTCCTCTGTCTGTGGTTCCTGCTTTTATGTTACTACCATCCCCCTTCCTTGCTTTTTCATCTTCAACAATGACATTAAAAAATAGTAAAGAATATATTCGCGAATTCTCATTCGTTTTATACCTGTGACAGTAATTAAGCAGGCAAATTCATTACTATCATTACCACTAGACTTTTCTCATTACCACTGCTTTGATATAAAATAAATGAACAATTAGAGTAGAAATCTATTATCAAAATGGTCTTGTATGTAAAAAATGATTTTATTCCTCAGAACGATGTCATCCGAAATTGTCAGGTTAACTGGAAGATGCAGTTTCTGGACTCTAAAATTTGATTTGATTAATTTTCAGCTAATATTTTGTTATAAAAAACTGAGATATCATTACAAATCTCTGTTGCTGTGAAAGTTTTATCAACTGTTTTTTAACGTGGAAATGTTTTAGGAACATTTACTCTTTCTACTTTGTCTTGAACAAACTTTTTTTTCTAGTTGAGCTATATTTATAGCAATGCAAAGTTAGATTTCCCTATGACTCTTTCTAGTACTGGTAACTAATTCTACCTCATCATTAAGCCAGTCATACTTATTTAATATACCTTAGTATCTTAAATAAAGTTTGACTGCATCTCATCAATGCCAAATTTTTTAAAAGTCTGGAATCTTTGGACTGTATAGCTTTAAACATTCAAGTGTTAGAAAGGTGAAAACTTTGATTTGCATCTGTCTATCTGTTGTGGTATATAACCAGAGCAGATCTGAAGCAAAACTTTTATTCACAAAAGTTCTCTATCTTTGATCTGAATTATTTCACAAACCATGTTGTAGCAGGTCTCTGTCTATAGACTGAACAATGTGAAGACAGTGATTGGACTTTGAGCAAACTGTAGAGTGTCTCAGGACGCTGTCATCACCATGAGTACACAATAGTAATTTCAAAGCAGTGGCCCAGGAAGATACAACAAGTTGGATGTAGGTGGCATTCTAAATAAAACTAATTTGTTATCTCCAACATTCTTATGAATGCCCACAGGTCATAATGGCTGGTAAGGCTTCATAAAGAACGTGGAAGGGCATTCTAAGTGAGAGAACACAATACACGTATGCGTGGAAATGAGAGACATGTCCAGGGAACTTAGATTAGACCAATTTGGCAAAGAAATAGAGCTAATTTAAAAGAGAGTGAGAGAAAAGAAAAGATAGGTTGAGAAGAGATTAGTCTTAGAATAAATACATTTTGCTAGAGGGAAACTTCTGAAAATATTTCAGCACAAATGTGACCTGAGAAAAAAAATGGCATTTTCAGATGTTCAGCTAACAACATTCAACAAGTAGAACGAACTAATGAAAGAAAACATGAGCAGAAGGAGGACTCTTAAGTAGCTATTGCTATACTTAGGACTAAAGGTGTGAATATCTGGACATGGCCAGAGCTATATTCGTGTTAGTTGAAGACTGAAGAAAATGTAAGACATGATGAATAAATGTAAGACTAAATCTTGTTGACTCGTACGTGTCAGGAATAATTTTTTAAAATATTTATTGTAAGAACTAGGCAAAGTGATATATACCATTGGGCATACCATAAAATATATAAGAAATATGTACTTTTTGTACTTTCACTATATTGAAAATTTTTCAATCTATATAGTTTATGATTCACAAAACTTTTTAACCATATATAACTATTTCATAATAATATTGTAAATAAGTTCCCACTTGAGCGGACTCTAAGACGGATATCCATAAACAAATATAGCCAAATCTCTCCCATAACAAATAGCATTGCAGTGACCTTGAGCAAGTTTATCTCTTTAAGCCTAATTTCCTCATCTGTAAATTGGTGACAATAGTGGTATTTATCCCTAGGGTTGTATCAGTTATTTATCACTATGCAGCAGTGAGAGCCAATTGGCATTTTTAATGTGGTGCCTGGAAATCTGCTTAGCCCAATCATTGTCTTACACTTAACAGAAGCTGACAACTTTGCCAATTGTTTCACTACTACAAAACATGGGCCATCATCTTTCTATCCTCCAATAGCAGTTTACTCACTGCTTTTTCAACCTCCAATCACAATGTCCTTGTTGATTTCCAGACTTTACTCTGCCTCATCCCAAAGTCAATGCCGCATGATTTAGGTTTTTGTTAGGAAGCATCTATTTTTGGTATAAAGTTCTGTATCAGTATTTATTGCTGTATAACAAGTCACTTCAAATCGTAATGAGTTGAAGCAATAAGAATTTATTATTTCTCTCAGTTCTGTAGATTAAATTCTGCGGGTCTTGCCTGGGCTCACTGATGCAGCTGCTTTCAAATGCTGAGTTGCATGGGGACTGCACTCAGCTAGGATGTCTGGTCTTCACTCTCCTTGGAGCAGGCTTATTCACTTTGTATAACAGCAGCCATCCAAGAGGGTAAGCTGCAATGTCCAAGTGCTTCTCAAGTCTCTATTTCCATCTCATATGCTGAAGTCATACTGTTCAAGTAAGTCACACTGCCAAGGCTAGAGTCAGTGTTGGAAGGGACTAGAAGAGGGAGTGATGTGATTCATTGGGGGCCATTACTATCATAAAATACTACAATGGCCTATTGTGTGGATTAAATGAGATAATGCATTAAAAGTCCTTAACATACGCCTAATATATAATAGGTACTCAATAAATGTTAACTACCATTAAAAACTTAGTAATGGTATTCACAATTATATATTTATTTAACTGTCAATCTCATCAAGGAGCTGTTTTACTTACTCTTTATGAACTGATTTTATCAATGTCCCTATGGATTGTCTCTGTTCTTACCCAACACTGATCTTGACTCAAGACTTGGTACTTAAATGCAACTTCTAAAGCAGTTCCAGTTTTAAAATTTAACAATGAGAAATAGATATTCTACTGAAGATTCTCTAGGGCAATAGATAAGAGAATTTACTATGTACCACATAACAGAGACTTAAATTCCCCATTAGAATTTCCTTTTCTCCCCCAATTTCTTCTGTCCTGTCATTTGCTTTATATCCTTTCTAACAAGCCTCCAAACCCCTTGCCTTCACCTAAACAATTTATCTCTCATCCTCACCAAGTATCCATTACTCAAAAGTCTGATAGGTAGTGTGATTAAAATCATATCTTTCTCCTCTCAGATATGCCTCCAAACCTCATCCCTCTAACCTAGTCAAGAAGAATAGGAGAGGGGCTGGCTCTGTGGCTGAGTGGTTAAGTTTGCGTGCTCCGCTGCGGAGGCCCAGGGTTCAGATCTTGGGCACGGACATGGCACCGCTCATCAGACCACGTTGAGGTGGCGTCCCACAACCCACAACTAGAAGGACCTGCAACTAAGATATACAACTATGTATGGGGGGTTTGGGAAGATAAAGCAGAAAAAAAAAAAAAGAAGAAGAAGATTGGCAACAGTTGTTAGCTCAGGTGCCAATCTTTAAAAAAAAATTTAAAAAAGAAAGAAGAATAGGAGAAAATTTCATGTAATTTCAAGTCAAATATTATTTGAAATAAAGAAAAACAAAATTTAAACCAAAAAAATATTAAGGGTTAGACTGTCTAGTACAATGCTGGGTAGATGTTAAGGATACGGAGAAGAACCAGATAATTTCACTGAAACTATCAGTTTTCATGTCTGACTCTTCCGGCTGGCCATAAACAAAGCACTAGGATAAATGAGCCCACACACGTGTTCAAAGTGCTTCAGGAGCACAAAGTAAGAAGCACCTATGAATGTCAGCACACGGGCTCTTACTCCAAATAGAATAGACCCAGCAGCATGTGTCGGCTGTGTCATGCACAGTGCTTTCTTGACACTGTCTACTTATTAGCGTGTTTTCTTTTGGGTTTCTCTTTCCCTCTCTCGGAACTTGAACTGATGGCCTCTGTTGTGTACTAACTGAAGACCCTCCCTGTGACCCTTGACACAGAATCAAACTCACAGCTTCCGCTCTCACACCCGCTATTACCCTTTCCTTCAAATACACCATTTATCCTGACAGTAAGTAAACTTCTCTGAGGGAGTATTCCTTACAGAACTGTAGTTTGTCTTTCGAATTATCTGAAAGATCAAATTTCAAGTTCTCCTTTGATACTATGATATATGCTAGGTCTCTTCCTTCCATGAACAAGCTTAGAATGCACCTTTTTATTTCAGGTGGAAAACACATCAGAGTGATGATAGGAAGCAACATTTAAGTTTATATACAGAAGATATCTTGAAAATTCCTGTTTTTTCATATCAAGGATATAAAGGATAATGTTGCTCAAAAAATGCTATAAAATGGCTTCTATGTGCTTCCAAGTGATAAAAACATTGGCTGTTGGAATAAATCCTCTGTCAATCAAACTGTTCCTTTGTTTTTCCTTTTTAAGAAAAAATAACAGAAAAGAGTTGAGAAAGCTTTACTGGCTGAGCAAATTTTTTTGTGAAACACTATGACTTCTGGATAGAACAATCACTATCAATTTGAGAAAGGAAAGATTTTTTTAAATATATATATAGCTGGGTTCCAGATGTAAGATGGATTTGAAGTGACACAAAGAGCTATCAACAAGATTGTTCTTTGTTCTAGACATTCAATAACCAGATTGCCTATAACAAGATTATCTTGTGAGATAAACCCCACATTTGGACCGTGATAACATAGCATGGCAGAGTGATAAACTACAGAGACAAGGGTGTGAACAAATTGATGTGGGAGGTCAAAACGGCCTATTATGTTCCTCTGTACTCATAACTTTGCATTTCTGTGTGCTTTTTATGTTTCTTAAAATCATTCAACTTACCTGTATGCTCACTGTAACTAAGCCATTTACTCATACGTAAGACTTCAGGTTATTTATTTATATACCAAAACTAATTCTTCTTTCCTTTCCTAGTTTTCAACTAAAAGTTAAATGATATATACTTCTTATCATATATTGTGAAGTCTGAGATCTTTATGCAATTTTATATATATTTTAATTGAAGCTTCACACATAAGGAAAGAATCAGCAATCACTAAAGTAATGGGGAAAAATGGACAAATATTCAGATTTCCATGAAAATATTATGAAGTTAAGGAATTGATTCATTAAATGTTAGAATGGTTGTAAATTTACACTATATAGAAAAATCAACTCAAAATGGAGTAAAGACTTGAACTTAAGAACTGAAACCATAACACTCCTAGAAGAAAACATAGGCCATGAGCTCCTTACATTGGTCTTGGTGATGACTTTTTGGATTTGACACCAAAAGCAAAGGTAATAAAAGTGAAAATAAACAAGTTGGACTATGTCAAACTAAAAATCTTCTGCCTTCCAAAAGAAATCATCAACAAAATGAAAAGGCAGCCTAACTGAATGGGAAAACAGATTAGAAAAAAGAGATTTGCAAATCACGTATCTGATAAGGGAATAATATCCAAAATATGTAAAGAACTAATACAACTTAATAGCAAAACACCAAACAATCTGATTTAAAAATTTGGCAGAGGATCTGAATAGACATATTTCCAAAGAAGACATACAGACAACAGGTACATGAAAAGATGCTCTACATCATTAATCACCAGGGAAATGCAAATCAAGACCACAATGAGCTATTACCTCATACCTGTTAGAATGGCTATTATCAAAAGGACAAGAAATAATGAGAATTAGTGAGCATGTGGAGAAAAGGGAACCCTTGTGCGCTATTGGTGGAAATGTAAATTGGTACAGCCATTATGGAAAATGGTGTGGACCTTCCTCAAAAAATTAAAAATAGAACTACCATATCATCCAGAAATTCCACTCCTGGGTATATATCCAAAGGAAACAAAACACTAACTTGAAAAGATATCTGCACCTCCATGTTCATTGCAGTGTTATTTGCAAGAGCCAAGACATGGAAACAACCAAAGTGTCCACCAACAGAAGAATGGATAAAGAAAATGTGGTGTATGTATATAAGTATATATACATACATACAAACAATGGACTATTTTTCAGCCATAAAAAAGGAGGAAGTCCTTCCATTTGCAACAACATGGATAGCCCTTGAGGGAGTTAACGCTAAGTGAAATAAGTCAGACAGAGAAAGACAAAACTGTATGACCTCAATTGTATGTAAAATCTAACACAAAAGAACTCATAGATACAGAGAACAGATTTCTGGTTGCCAGAGGCAGGGGCTGGGGGGTGGGCAAAATGGGTGAAGATGTTCAGTAAGTACAAACTGCTAGTTATTAAATAAGACCCAGGGCTGGCCTGGTGGCCGAGTGGTTAAGTTCGCGTGCTCAGCTGCAGGCGGCCCGGTGTTTCGTTGGTTCGAATCCTGGGCATGGACATGGCACTGCTCATCAAACCACGCTGAGGCAGCGTCCCACATGCCACAACTAGAAGGACCCACAACGAAGAATATACAACTATGTACCGGGGTGCTTTGGGGAGAAAAAGGACAAAATAAAATCTTTAAATAAGCCCCAGGGATGTAATGTATAGCATGGTGACTATAGTTAATAATACTGTATTGCATATTTTAAAGTTGTTAAGAGAGTAAATCTTAAAAGTTCTCATCACAAGAAGAAAATTGCAACTGTGTGGTGATGGATATTAACTAGATTTATTGTGGTGATCATTTTGCAGTATATACATATATTGAATCTTTATGTTGTACTCTTGATTAAAAAAAGAATTGAAGACCTAAGTTAGAGGATGTATACTACTAGATATAAAGACTAATCATGAAGCTATAATATTCAAAACAGTGTGGTATAGATGCAGAATTAGGCAAAGACACTAGTGGAATAGAAGAAAGTGTCTAGTTTTAGATCCACACATAATCATCTAATTTAAGGTAAAACTACTGCTACAATGAAACAGGGTCTGAAAATAAATGATGCTTAATCAAACTTATCTCTTTAGGGGAAAACAAATTAAACTCTACCTCACACAATACAGAAAAATCAAATCAGATGGATCACAGACCTAAATGTGAAAGGTCAAGCAGTAAAGTTTCTAGAAGGTAACATACGAAAATATCGTCATGACCTTGGAGTAGGGAAAGATTTCCACTAACCGTTGAAAGCACTAACCCTAAAGGAAAAGCTTGATAAATTGAAATGTATTAAAATTAAGATCTCATTTTCATTTAAAAAAATAGAAAATGAACATGCAAGATACAGAGTGAGAAAAGATTTTTGCAGTACATAAACATGAGATAGGACTTGTATCCAATACATAAAGATCTCCTGCAAAAGACGGACAACTCCATAAAAATAGACAACAGACTTGAAAAGTACTTCACTTAAGAGGATATATGAATTGCCAGTACGTGTATGAAAAGGTGCTCAACTTAATTACTAAATTACAACTTAATTTGAACTCTACTTAGTGCAAATTAACATCAGTGAACTACCACTACACACCCACAAGAATGGCTAAAATGAAAAGGACCGACAACACTGAGTATTACCAAGAATGTAGAGCAAGAGGAATTCTCAGAAAGTGCTAGCAGAAGGAGGGTAAATTGGTACAAACAACACTTTAGAAAACTTATTGAGAGTATCCACTGAAGCATTATCTATGATCCAGTATTTAAAAGAAAAAATAGACAGAAAAATGTCTGTAACAATATAGAGCATATACCAAACTGTTTGAGAAAAAAATGCCATTAAATTAATGTCAACATCTTAATGATGTTGATTAGTTTTAGAATTTAGAGAATATCATATTCAAATTTTAAAAATGTTAGAAAAGAGAGGAAAGTATAATAAGTTAATTAAAAATAACCTAGCAATAGGGGCTGGCCCAGTGGTACAGCGGTTAAGTCCACACGCTCTACTTCGGAGGCCTGGGGTCTGCCAGTTCAGATCCCAGGTGCAGACCTATGCACCACTTGTCAAGCCATGCTGTGGCAGGCATCCCACATATATAAAATGTAGAGGAAGATGGGCACAGATGTTAGCTTAGGGCCAGTGTTCCTCAGCAAAAAGAGGAGGATTGGCAGCAGATGTTAGCTCAGAGCTAATCTTCCTCAAATAAATAAATAAATAAATAAATAAGTAAGTAAGTAAATAAATAACCTAGCAATATCTGTTAAAATCTTAAAATATTGTCTTCCAAGACTTTTCTCCAGGTGGAGAAATATGCCACTATAATGTTTATTTTAAAACTTGGGACCATACTGTAACTATATATATAGTGGAATAGATGGCTTATCACTTCTATACTTTTTAAAAGTATTTTATGTGATTATTCTTTTCTTATTTTGGGTACTTTCAAAATTTACACATTTTAAAATATGAGTAAGAAATGTGAGTGGAATTACTACAGTAAAGATTAGAAACATTTTAAAGCTATGAGGCACTTTACAAAATATTTTGTTAATTTACAATATTTTTGTGCCATTCAGAAATGTATGATAGCATGGGCACAGCACCCTCACCATAAAAAATACAAAATTGTTAGTTATATATTTTTATCTGGATTTTCTTTCTTAGAATTGAGGCTCTTCTTTTGTGACCCTTCGTGGCTTTCTTTAATCTTTTGAGAATGATCATTGTTCAACTTACTCATTAGTGGTTAATATTGCTTTGTAAATGACTAGTGAGAGTCCTTTACAAATTATGGATATTAATCTTCCCTGTGATATTTCACATAAATTTTATTTCTCAATTTCTGGTTCCTTTTTAATTTTTAATGTAACATAGTTGTAGTGGTTTATTACTGTGTCACCTTAGCCAGGCTGGAAATGTTTTCGAAAATTTCCTGTACTACATGGTTCTAGATTCATATTGGCCACAAAAGAAATTTGCATGAATCTGGAAGGCAGAAGTGAAGCAGCAGGCACATTTTTTATGGTCAGAAGATTCATGGAGAATACTGTGCACTGTGGCATCTCACAGTTATACTCACTGATCTGCAGTCTCACTTTGATGACATGGGGAGCCTTCTTCCACTTTCTTACAGTCCTGGGCCAGAAGAATGAATGTGCAGGTCTGTGGTAAAGGGCTGCAGCCTCTCCTGTGTGTTTCCCCTGCAGCAGCTAGAGACAGAGAATGACGTTGGTTCCAGCTCATCATAGAGGGTCTCTTAACCTGCCTATTGCATATATCCAGCTTTTCTTTCTGATGGAGGTCTGATAGTTAATGGCTAATAGCCATCAGCTTTACTCTCAATATCAGATGTGGAGGCAACAGCATTGCAGAGATGCCTACTCTAATTTCTATATAATTGTGTAAGGTCTAGCCCCTGTATAAAATTCTCTACTCTATATCACTTATGTCATTATGCTTCTTTAATCAAACCCTGACCAATACAGAAATTACTAATGGAAGTGG